AAGCTTCTCAGCTCATGGGAAAAGTGGAAAAAAAAAAAAAAAAAAAAAAAAAAAAAAAAAAAAAATAAAAAAAAAAAAAAAAAAAAAAAAAAAAAAAAAAAAAAAAAAAGAAGAAAAGCGTGATTTAAGTCTGATTGTCCACTGTGCAATTGTATCTCAATGAAGAGCCTGGGACAGACAGACTCATCCATTTTTGGCAGATCTACAGGCCACTCAGGGACCTGGTGGCAGCACAGAGCTACTCCCACCAGCAAAGGGGTGACGTGGCTACAAACCACAGGTAAGTCCAAAACCATGGCAAGCAATTCCCTAGGGACAGCAGCTCTGTTTGCACAAGGTCTTTACGTGGATTGCCATATGGACAGGCACAGTGACCTGTGAGTAATCTGTATCATGAATGTCCGCTGGTAGGTGGAACTTAGCTGCTCTTAGTCCCCATCACTTCACTCATGAACTAAGGAATGCAATGATAAAGGAAAAGCTGGAGTATTTTCAGTGCTGGATTGTTTCCATGAATATAGTTCTCATTATATAACACTTTGAGCCCTGTGCAAATTCTGCTAACGTACTTTTAGGAAGACAGAACATCTGTACAGATCCATTGTAGAGCAGACTGGACTTTGATCAGGTACTTTCTAATTGTACCGGATGTCTTTGGGCTTTTGCATGTCATAGATTTCTTTGCCTTTATATTCTGAGGCACCTCATAAATTAGATGGTTGATGTTGTCAAATGCATGCCATTAACACTTTGAACAGATAGTCCATTCAGTGGCCTCTGCAGACTCTATCATACTGCCTGTCTCCAGATAAAACCTTTGGAAGAGGAACAATGGAGCTCCAAATTCCTTGTGACCTCGGCTCTTCAGTTCCGTGCTTCAGAAGAGAAAAATTATCATTATCTGCATGGTTCAAGCTCTGTTTGAAATGCAGTTATTTTTTACTCATACATTTAGAGTATTTTTTATATGATGTAAGTTGAAAACTTGAAGCTCCCTTTGAGGAGAAAAAGATTTCCTGCAGCCCTACTATTAAAGAAAATGGATAGATCAAGTGGTAAAGTTCAATGACTTACTTGGTGTTAAATAAGAAAGAGAATAATGTATTGAATTTTGTGTGCCTGTTTTTCCTCTGCAGGGAACAGCCAGACTAGTGGATTTGCATTGCCTTCTGCTTCTACTCACCAAAGTTTAGGTGAGTTCAAAACACTCTTTTGCTTTATTTTTTTTCTTTCCTCACTCATTACAGCTTTTAATCTTTGGAGCCTAGCAAGCAAATCAGCGTGTGTGCCACCAGCACCATCCTGGCTGGCTGAGGAAATGATGCAAGGTTAAGTGCTTACGTCCAACGATAATTTGTGGCCTGGTGTGCAGACATCTGCATTTTATGCTAGGTAGCAGCAAGTAGGCAACTCCTTGCTTAGGGTGGACACTAGTTTCCTACTATTATGCGCTCTATCCTTAACGTCCTTCAAGAGAAACATTATTTTCCTATTGGGTTCACCAAAACCGGCTGGGTCTCCAAACTCCTCCTTTGTTTACGGGCCTTGTCAAGAGCTCACTGTAGAGCTTTTTATTGGGGAAGGAAGGGAGGTGGTGTATGAGGAAACTATTACAAAGCTATATAACATAAACAACTTTCCAACGTAAACCCAAAGACCACTTGGCAAGGAAGAGGTTAATGCTGGGGGGAGGATGGGGGAACTCATTAGGGCCACGTTATTAATAGAGGCCCGGGAAGGCTGGGGAGGGATCCGGAGGGAAGGGGAAATAATTGCGAGCGTTGAAGCTAGCCAGGCTGGACCCCTTGGTTGGCAAGGGGCTGATGGCCCCTGGCTGGAGCACAATGCGCAGTGCCCGTGCGCACAAGCCGTGCCCAGGAAGGGCTGCAGGTGTCCAGGACTGGTGCTCGGCCACCTTCTCACACCTGCAGGGCCATGCAGGCACCGTGCAAAACGGACCGAGCTCCAGCAGTGCGGGAGGATGAGGGAAGGCCACCCGCTTCCAGAGGTGAACCTGAGAGGAGGACACCCCACCTGGGAGCTCTCTGCACAGCCAGAAACCTCTGCTGCTCCCCTCTGCCCCGAACCTTCTTTGGGTCCATCAGTGCCTGCTAAGAGCTGGGGAGCTGCTGCCTGCCTGCTCAGATGGTCAGAGCAGGATTTCCGTTTTCCTACCAGCCTTGGTGCCTTAGGCTCTCTGTTTTGTTTTTTTCTCTGAATGGGAAATGCATAATGAGAAAGTGTTTAAACAACATACGGGACAAGGAAACTTGCTGGAGTAAAGTACGACATTTTAATTTCTTTCCAAGGAAATGATGCACTCTCCAAAAAAATACCTCTCAACCACTGGAGTTTAAAGTTGCAGGATAGTCACCAGTCCCCTTCGGTGCAGCCTTGCAGGCCAAGAGCTCTCTCATAGGTCTGCACGTGGAGCACAAGGAGGGCAGGAGCCTGTGCTGGGATTGTCCTTGCCCCCAGCCCATAGTGTCCCAAGCAATTGATGTAGACCTGCAGTTGATTAAAAGCTCATTAGTAGGCTTTGCAGACTTTTGGATGCGATGACGTGTTTACTGTGGATACAATTCTGCTGGTAAGAAAAGCACTAGGCAATTGTCAGCATTGCCTTCTCACAATATACCCGTTATATGAACTCTGTGCCAATGGGTATGGTTAGAGATATACATGTGGGTTGGCACCCCAGGACAAGAGGGACATGGAGCTTCTAGAGAGAGTCCAGCGCAGAGCGACAAAGATGATTAAGCGACTGCAGCATCTATCATATGAGGAAAGACTAAGTAAGCTGGGCCTGTTCAATATGGAGAAGAGAAGATTAAGAGAGGATCTTATCAATATGTACCAATACCTGAAGGGGAGAATGTAGGGAGAAGGGGGCCAAACTCTTCTTGGTGGTGGCCAGTGACAGGACAAGGGGTAATGGGTGTAAATTAAGACACAGGAAGTTCCATCTCCATATGATGAAGAAATTCTCCACTGTGGTGGTGACAAAGTCCTGGAACAGGCTGCCCTAGGGAGGTTGTGGAGGCTCCTTCTTTGGAGATCTTCCAAACCCCTCTGGATGCTACCCTGTGCCCTGTGCTCTGGGTGTCCCTGCTGGAGCAGGGATATTGGACTAGGTGATCTCTAGAGGCCCTTCCAACCTCAACCATTCTGTGCTTCTCTGACCATAGCACTATTTTGAGCCATAACCAAGCCAGCACAACAGCTGTGAGCAGGAGGACGAACAGCAGAGCGTGACCAAGCACACCTCATCCAAAATGAAAGTCGCACACCTCATCCAAAATGAAGGTCTCACATCTCATCCTAAACACACCTAAAATGAAGGCCCTCAGCCCCAAACTCCCCATCGGGGTTGGTGCCCAGCCGCAGCCGTCAGCTGGAGGTTCAGGCGGGGGCTCCCTGTTAAAGCTGGCCTATCTTTTTGCTTGGGTGGGTGAGTCTAGACTTACTGGTGCTGCTGAGGAAAAGCCCAGGAACCGCCGCAGCCAGAGGAATTCTCTCGTGCTATTTCCAGCCCTGCTTTTTAGATACAAAGGGCTTCAGATCAGATGCATTTCTGCAGCTTATCTGAGCGAACATTTGGCTGCTCGGCCAAACAGAACAAAACCCTTCAAACCTTTCGAGGTCCATCCATCAAGAGCCTTATCTCCCGCGTGTCACCACGCGGCTCCCGGCCACCGGGGCCTCCCGCGGAGCTCGGCGCTCCCAGCAGGGCTCCCTCTGGGCCTGCCGGAGCCGCAGGCGCCCGCCGGGCTCTCTGCCGCGTCGCCTGTGGCTTCAGGAGCACACGGGAGCAGCCAGCCTGGCCTGCGGCGTGATTTACTGCCGCCCGGCACCCGACGGTGATGCCATGTCGCCCACCGCCCGCCTCCCTCGCCCTGCAGCCACGGCCCTCAGGGCTGCCGCCATAGGCGCGGCCGGAGCGCTCTAGCCCCGCTTGGCTCCAAGAAAGGATAACATTTATCTTTTTTTATGGGATATTAGTGAGGCTCGGGTAAAGGAGTCCAGTCTGCTCTAGCCGAGGTTCAAAGACTGAAATATCCAGGGGGAAACTTTCTGGTCTCCTCTGTGGTTAAGAGGAGGGTTTGTGAGGCAGCCCCCGCTAAGCCACGGTGTTTGGTCAGAGTGTGTGTTAGGGGCCTGCAGGGCTCTTCTTCATCCCCACCGTGGCCAAGGGCATCATGCTCAGCCTTCAGTGCCCGAATCTGTCCCCTCTTGTAAGAGCCAATGCTCTAAACAGGGCTGTATAAAATATCTAAAAACACACTTAAAATATGAGGCTGGCTCTCGTGCTTCGTAGCTCGACGTGATGCACGAGCGAACGGGACGCACATAGAGCGTGGCGAGTGTGGTTCTCGGCCATGTAAAACAATTGTGCAATTACCCCTGAGCCCAATTTATACAATACGTTATTCAGCCCTGTCAGAAGAGCCTCTGCTGAGCTCTGCACTTGGTATTGGGGTCACAGAAAATTTCCTACTTTGAAGCTGAGCTGGCACAAGGAATCGTCTGCAGTCCTGCAATACTGTCAAAGTCACTGCCAAAAACAACAGGGTGAAGACTTCAGAACGAGCCACCCATTCACAGCGTAACCGAGTTAAAACGGGGGCCTGGCTGGCCCAGGGCTTGAGAACAGCTTCTAAATAGCTTGTAGGCTCAAATCCTGTGCAGACTGGCAGGGATCAAAAGCTTCTGTTGCTTGGTGCTATTTGGGCTTGGCCCAGTTCTACATGAGCTTCAGCACTGAGGTGGCCTTTTCCAGTGAGCGCCATTTCCTTAAGCTCCTTTTCACAGCAGAATCTGAGCCATACGTTGTTGGCTTTCACTCCCAGTGGTTTTATATTTTCTTCTAGGTTGGCATTAGGAAAGGTAGTGTATGTTCCCATAAAACAAAGAATATGACTCAATAGCACCAGGATAAATGTATTTTTCATACTGTCGTATATAATAAGCTATTTATAAGTATCATCTCACTTCTGGGTCATCCTCAGGGTTCCAAATAAAATCTTAATTTAAACAGTTTTTCAAAGTTGACAGATAGGATAAATACATTTTTGTTCAGATGAAACCGAATTTTGACAATGTTTTGCAAAATTCACTACAAGCTAAGGATTGTTTCCCCTAATTGTTGCTTTGTTTGTCTCCAAGTTCCGGTGTTTAGTTTAATGTTACATTCCGTTATAGAAAAAAACCTCAGTGGCTACAGTTAACCAAAGCCTCTAGCTCAGAGACACGAGGATGCTCTTGCAGACGAAGGATGGAGGAAGGAGTGAGCGTTTGCTGAGGAGATGTTAGGGGTAGTCACTGCCCTCCTTTAAATGTTGTAAGGCAGGTACTTCATTTGTACAGCAGAAACTAGACAGAACTATGAGCACTAAAGCAATTTATTTTGAAGTGCTTTAAAGTTACTGTCTTATGAGCCCTTCCAACCCATACTTCCCCTGCTGCCCCCGTTAGGCAGCTAAGGGAGATGATGCTGTTTGAAGAGCAGCGTGGTAGCAACTGTGTGTGTTGGAGACCTGAAAGCACTGGCACTCGCAACCATGTGGACTGACCTCCATCTGCTAGGAGCTTCCAGCTGCTGCACTGAAAACACCTGGAAAGGGAGTCTGCAGAAGTGGAGGGAGGACTTCTAACAGGTTACCATGGACCGTGCTCAGCCTGCTGAGTCCTCAGGGACATCTCTCTGTACAACCAGCTCGCAATAACCCTTTCAGTGGGATCAGGTGCTGTGGGATAATCCTGCTCTTTTTCTTGTTTAGGGCTAACTTCAGTGATTAAGTCTGAGCAAAGAGAATTATTATAACCACAGCTCATGAGGCGAAGCCGCAGTGCAGTGTGTCCGTGGCTCTGTGGATGGTTGTTTCCAACGCAGACACCCACTTTGCTAAGCAATCTACCTGCGTGATGGCAGGGGATGAGCTGTCTGCACCGAGGAGCTTCCCTGGCTGCCTCCTTTCCTGTCGGGATCGCTCGGCTCCCTTAGGGAACAGGGCTGTGTGCGGGACGCAGAGTCCATGGCCTGCACAGCGTTCACAGGACAGGACTGAACACGGCTGCTCAGTGCCTCCTGCCCATCACCTGCGATATTATCCATGGGGTGAAAGCTGCCGAGGGCCAGGGAGGGAAATGGTTAACGACACCATCACCAAAGGCTGCGGCTGGGTCAGCCTTGCAGCTGAGCTGAGGGAGGGCTCTTCAAAGGGACTGTGCTATGGTGATGCTCCTTGCCATTCAACATAAATGCTCCTCTGTTCCTATTTTATCTTTCTGCTTCTACTGATAACCCTTGAACCACTCCAACAATTCCTTTCTCCATCAGCAGAAGAGGAAACGTAAGTTTCTTGGCATCTGTCTTTAGGCAGTCTCTCTCTGTAGAAGTATGTTTTCCTTTACTGGTTTGCTTCAGGACTTAGCTGACACCTAATTATAATAATATCCAAACAATTGATTTTGGCTTCAGTGTCTTGTGGCAATCGTGGTCTGAAGTTGCTGTAAATAACATTGCGAAAATAAGCCTGTGTGTCCAGAGACTGATACCAAACTCTAGGAATAGACACTCGAGAAACACGGCTAAGTAAGGGTTGTTGAAGCTTCCAGTTTGCAGCGATGCTGATAAGGCAGTTTCCAAGAAGCTGCCCAGCCCTTAAATTCTAGAAACTCTCTCTTCCCAGGTCAATAACCATTTATAGACTGGATCTTCGTATCATCTTACAAATAAACAAAGTCAAAGCAGGATCTAGTGCAAATCATACAACGGAAGGAAATCCCAGGTCTATCAGAATGAATCTTGAGTTTCTCTGACAGAGCAAACCAAAACACACCATGTAGAAATATTTGGTAATTCTGATAGTTTGAGAAATCACAAGAAAATGCTCTGGACAGCTTCACTGTTCTTTAGACACCTCTCCTTGGTGTTCTGGAAAGGAGACCTGGGCAGCTTTAGAGGAGCCGCTGCCCGTTTGCCCGATGCTGCTGGTTCCTGTGCAGCCTGAGGTCCCTTCTGGAGAGAGGCGCAGGCTGCCGGGGGCGGCGGGCACCCGTCTGGGCTGCAGCCGCCCGCAGCTCGCGGGCTCCATGGGAAGCGTCTCGCCAACCTGCTCCTCAGGACAAGAACACCAAGACTTTGCAGTTTCCTCCGCCTCCTACCCCTCTGCACCCGGGCTGCCTCCTCATGTCAGCTCCCCTGCAGTTTCACTCACTGCTTTTCATCAGCTTTAGCTTCAGACGGGAGCAGAGACTCTTTGGAGTGAACATTTTCCATAGCATCCTGCAGCTCAGCCAGCAAAAAACGTTCAACGTGGCTCTAGCTGGAGCACTAAGACAGGCTTAGACCCCCTCAGGTGCTTAGCTCCCTTATTTCATGGGGCCAGATCATTTCTAAATATCTCCTGCAGGTGTGGCAGTTGACACAACAAAGCGGGCAATGTTTTCAAGTCCATCCAGCTTATGCATAAACACTGCGAGTCCTTTCATAAAACTCTCGTGAGTTGTTTCACAAACACAAAGCACCCAAAGCGGGTGCCACCAAGGCCGCAGCCCCCGTGGCCGAGGGCTGCTCAGGTGGGTGGCAGCCCTCAATGCTGTGGCCTCCAGAACAGTCCCCTGCGCTCTTCTGGAGCTGCCCTGCAAGTGGAGAAGCGGTCGCTGGTGCCACCAGACCTGGGCATAGGCTACCACCTGCTGGAGTTTTCTCATTGACTTCCTGCTCTATAGATTGCCACAGTCCTATTTGTGCTCTGTGCTGTAACACTTCTCTGTGAAGCTGTGGAACTGTCACACGCTCAGCATTGTGCCACAAACACCTATCATTAGCTCTTTATATATAAAGGGCAGCTCTTTATTTATAAATAAAGAGCTATTTAGCTAGTGAGATGTGAGCAACTCATGTAAACTATGAGGATGCCCAATGTACAGCTCTCTGGCCTTGACTGTTGCATGTTTAGGGTCTGATGTGTTTTACTGAATCTAGGTCTTCTCTTTCCCTCACTGACCCTACAGAATAGGAGAACTTTTCTGTGCTGAGATAAATCGCTGCAGTTTTGAAGTGGAGAACTTCAAATTTCCCTGCAGAAAATGCTTTTACCAGAAAAGAAATTATTTTTCACACAGTCCTTAAGAAGGATTCCTCCTTAAGAAGGAGGAATAAATTCATATACACTGGATGGACACAAGCCAGAATTGAAGTGGGATCCCATCTTTGCATCCTCCAAGTGTTCAGATGTCCTCGCTGAAGTGAGTGCTACAGTTCTGCCCGTGCTCGTGCTCCCGCGAGAGGCCAAGGCAGCTTCTTGGGGCCTCATCGCATGTGAGTGTGAGGACTTGGCCAGTGCAATTCAGGTTTGTTCCACTTAGACAGCTCAATCAGATCAAGGAGCCCCTAAATCCTGTAGCCTTCCAAGTAGGAGACTTGGCATCTGCTTCAGAGGGGACAACTTCAGGGATGTGTCAGAGCTGACACCTACTGCTGCTGACTTGTCCAGGGTCTTGTGATGTTGCTGCATGTGCCTTTTAGTGCAGAAACTTTGTTTTTCAACAGCTCACACCGAATGCTGTGGGTGTAATTTCCTAATCCAGGCTTTTTGGATCGAACTACTCTCTTGGGTTGCGCTAGGGCTCAGCAGGTCACCCTGACCAGCCACCTACAGTGCGTCAGACCAAATAGCCAGCCCCGAGGAAGGTCACTGAGAGGGCTCGGGCGGCCTCAAATAGGAGCTGACTCATGTCCCACGAAATCCAAACAAAACGTCTACGCATATTAAAAGATATTATGGAAACGGTCTCATTCATGCACAAAAGCTACACTTCAGACTTTATCATTATATTGTAAATGGAGAGAAAAATTGCACAAGCCTGGTGCACATTTAAATTGTTGGCCTGTAAAGAAGTCCCTTCCCATAAACACATCCATTTCTCGGGGGCTGGCACACGAGAAGGCATCTGAAGCTGCAGGCTCGGTCCTTGCTGTGCTCCTTCAAGGCATTAATTTATCTGCAGCAGTGATTCATTTCTAGGCTCATTCGTGTGGTCAAGAGCAAACTACTCCAGAGCAAACACTTAGGGTGCAGATACAAATATCAGGAGATGGGGCTTCATAAGAGGAAAGATTCAGGCCCTCCTAAATAGAGCAGCAAAGCTAGTGAGTGCTGCCTGCTGGCACGGATGGGTACCCAGAGCATCGTATGTGCCTGCTGCAGCACTGGGATCGCTTAGGCCTCCATGGGGGGATGACTCTGCAGTAAAATCCTGCCCCACTGATGTTGTCCAGGACCTGAGCATGGGGCTGGGCAATGCAGAGCCCCTGTGGCTCCCACAGCTGCCAGCTGCAACCTCTGAATTCCAGCAAGGGTGAATGGTCCTGGCCCGGGGAACCGGCTTTCCCATAGACCTTGCATGGCATATGCACTTTTTCAGGAAAACATGAATTAATGCAGGTATTAACCAGCAATTTGTCATGCAGCTTCTGCAGTCAGCTTCCGAGGCTGTGAAGCATGCAGTGAAAGATGGATGTTTTTTCCCTCCCGTTGTGGCACCTTTGAAGTTCTTCAGTGCTGGAAGCGACTGAGCACCCCGAGTCTGCGGCTGTTTTCTGCCCAGCGAAGGGGAGAACCAGCAACAAGCTCATGTGCTGCTCACTGCAAGGGGCTCTTTCTTCTGGTCGGAGCCACGGGCAGAGCAGCTCAGCCTCTCCACCTGCACATCCCCAGCTACCTCACAAGAGAGGTGTGTGAGGAGCTGCCTGTGGCACTGCAGAAGCACTGCCCGCCTGCACCTGCAGGCAACTGCACCCACGCATCAGCGTACAGCACCAGCAGGAATGACCTCCCTGCTCCCTACCCCCTTCTCCCCCTAGAACACATTGTGTTTACTGACCTAAATGAAAATAAAGCCAATGCAGCCCCACGTCCTGCAGGCCCATCCCCGGAGCGTGGGGAGGTTGTCGTGTCTGACGAAGGCCGAAGGCTCCTGCACTGTCTTGCCCCAATGTCATGGGCTGACGGTAGAGTGTGGTCCAGCCAACTGGTTTATCCTGGTTGCCTCTTGGAGAACGATCTCCTGACACCATGAGACACCCAACTGCTATGGCTAAGCTCTCGCTGTACTTCAGAAACCACTGAATAAATACTTCTTGAAAGTAAACTAGCGTTTTGTTTGGGGAAACAGAAGGACCCAGCAGCTTGGCTGCTTTCGTGGATAAGACAGTGCTTCTCAGGAACCTGCTGGGCTCTGAGCAACAACAAGAATATCTTGTTTGCTGCTTTCTGAGCTGGCCTCCCCTCCTTCGATAGGCTTGGAACGAGCTCTGGAGGTCTGACTGTGGAGAGTAATGATGTGTGAAAGCTCCCTTTCATTTTTCACTCCGATTTTTTGGAAGGTGGAACATTTTGCCGTTGACGGTACCATGCTGAAGCCATATGAGGCAAGCAGCTATTTTTAACCCAGTGGAGATTATTTGAGAGTATATTGCTGAATCATTTTAAACAACGAAGGAATCATGACATTCAGAAGTGTTTCTGCATGATGCTGGTGGAGGGGAGGAAGGTTTTTATCACCCATTTGTTCCAGTAACTTTTCAGCTACTCCCAAGAATATGATTAGGACTATCTCAAAGACGCACTGCCTGTGAGCTCCGTGGAGCAGCAGTGCATTTTGTAAAATGCTTTGGAGGCAGACAGATGATCAAGCTAAGGCAGCTTGAGAGGCTCCCTGTGTTTGCTAGTCCGGACGCGGTGCTCCCAACCACACCGAGCGGGAGAAACCGCTCAAACTTCAGCATTTCATCACTGCAGTCCTGCATCCCCATCACCCCGTCGTGCCTAAGAGCCGTTAGCCGGGAACAGAACGTGCTTGTGGGATCACAGGTCGGAGGAGAGGAGGAAAGGGAACTCACGGACCTGCCTTGCATGTCTTTTCTGTGCGTCTTTGTACACACAAGAGAAATGCTCCGTTTCACCCCCCATTGCCCATACGATTGCAGAAGTGGCCTCTCTAAATAACTCAAGCTGCAGCTTCATGGAGTTGGCCTTACGGTTAAACTAAGGAATTTTCTTTTTTTTCTCTGGCACATCTCTAAGCCCCAGCAACACCTCTGCTGGCAGGGGAGCTGGAAGTGACTCACTGGTGCATCTCCTTGCACAGGAAAAGCAACGCGGTGCAGCTCACTGTAACTCCAAGACAGGCTGCAACTCAAGTTTGTTCTAAGCCAAACTTGTACAGTAATCTCTAGTTCTTACATAAAGATGACTGATAACCAGTTTTTGACTACTAGTAACCTATAAAGCCTATAATTTCTTCCCAGAAAGTGCACTGAGATTCTCAAGACTATTGCTGCCTGTGCTGCTTGGACATCCCCAGAGAGCAGCATAATTTTTTCCCTGCTGAATGCAGTGATAAAATGCTCTTTTCATCTTGGGAGTTAGTGCGAAGCCCATCCTAAGCTCTGCAGTGTTGGCTACATGGGTGGAACTCCCTGAAATGTGCAGAGCTAGTCCAGGTACAGGTTTCTCCTGCCTCTCCTGAATACAAACTACTTGTATTTTGCCTCCAAACACAAGATCACTGCAGGAGCAGGAAAAAATTTTTCTTCTGTGCATCAGAGAGCTCCAACATGTTCAGCAGAGAAAGTAGGTCATTGCTGGAGGCAGGACAGGGAGCTAGATGAGTCTGTTAAGGCAAATCCCGTGTTTCCTGTGTCCCTTAAGGGTCTCTAATCAGCCAGGCACAAAATACTGTTCCTCACTTCTTTATAAATCTCTTGGCTGCTGTTTTTGGTCTTGTGAAGTCAAGCTATGCCAAGAATGAGTAGAATCAATGCTTAGCATGTCCATGTGAATTTATGCACAACGTATTTATATTCTCTCAGGGCACAGGAATGATAAAGAAATGCTTTGGTATCAGCTACGTTCTGAAGTTCATGGCTCCTTTGCATGTGTAGCACTTGGCCTCAGCTCTGAGCTTGAGCCCATCCTGGTGACCAAGCCAAGGGTGGCGAGCGACGCTTCTGCGGATGGACCCCATTGTGGCCTGCAGGACACGACTTGCAATGGGAAAAATGACCTTCCTCGAGCAGGTCCTCAGCAGCCCTGAAACCATGGTGGGACATCAGCCCTTCAGCCCAGGCTCTGAAGGCCCAAACAACCTGCTGTCCCTAGAGTGCTCTGTGCTGAGCCTAATTGTGACTAACCCAACCCATTTCCCTCTGCTGGTGGCAGAATTGCTCAACCAGCTCCAGTTGTGCTAATTCCTCTTTGCAGCCCCTGCAGCTTTCCCATCCTTTAGTTACATCACCTGCAAAACAGGAACTGTAGGACAGCAGCTGCTTTCTCTGCAGCCACCACAGTAAACATGACAGCGACTGGAACGCAAGGTATGACGACAGTGTTGTAAAACACTCCTGAGCCCTTCAAAACACCAGTCTTTTCCCCTTTTCCTGGAATATTTCCTACATTCCCTGATCTCTGATCTGGAGACTTCACTCCAGAAAGAAGTGCACTCTTTTTGCTCTGATTGAAACAGATCCCACCCAAAGACAAGGGCAATATTATCAGTCCTATGATTTCTTGGCTTTCCCAGAGAACATTCCTGTTACTCATCCTATTCCTTGAAGGACAGAAGGCAGAAAAGCTGCTACGGGCTGTGAGGAAATGTGCAGTTCAGAAGGCTGCTAAATGGCATCCGGCAAGCTCATACTTGTACTCCGCACGTGGCTTATTTTATCCCCAGATCTGTAATCCTGAAAAATGGGGCCTGACACGTGTGTTTTTCCATAACACAATCTCTTCAGGTCAAATTAATTCTATGATTTCCATCTGTTTCCTCCTCTACATAAATGATGAAGACTTCCTGAAGCTAACAGCCAAACTTGCTCAAAACTGGGCACTGAAATTAATCTTTTGTTCTTAAGTACTTTCTGTAGACTGATTTGCTCTAGGTTTTAGAATAAATCCTCTTTTTACTCACAGCTCTGTAGGACTCAAAGCAGCAGACATAGAAAGTATTTTATTAGAGGGGAGAGAGGGCAGTGAGAAGACCAGGAGAGGGCTGGGAGTGACTTGTCATTGAGATTGAGCCTGTCTAGATGCTCAGGTTGTCACAAAAATATCTAGAAGTCTTTGCTTTTCGTTGCGTTGTTGCTGGTGCCTGTGCCTGCATGTGGCCCAAGGGTGCTCTGTGACTGCAGATCAGGTCCCTTGAGGTTCACCACACGCTTCCTTCCCAACCCTGAATGAGCTCGTGTCTGCACCCTGCTTCCCTCTTCAATGGGTGAGCTCAGTGATCTCTACGCATTTCTGAGATTATCACCAAAGCCTGTGTCTAAAAATATCAAGTCTTACCAATTTCACAGAGTGCTCGAAAACCCAGCAGTTTTATATTTGAGCCCAAGTAACACTGTGCCCTGTAGGTCCTCTCTGCATTAAGAGGAACCGAGATTTGGATGGGAACATCTTGTATTGGGTATGCATTTCCCTCTCCTGCCTCTCAGGTCTTGCATCACGTTGCTGAAGTCTAAAATACAGACGAAGCTGTGAGAGACAAATAATCAGATGTACTTTTGGGATATCTAATGATTAAGAATGGGTGTTGGGTGAATAAACTGCATTTTACTCTGTCATCAAGGAATGTTTGTGCACTTTTCTTCAGATAAATACAGGGGTGGGCCTAACTAATCTAGCCAAAAATTCACAAACCCGGGCAGGTGTTCTTGCTTCAATACCACTTCTCAGTGTAACTTTAGGTGGTGCTTTCTGTACCACGGTTGAGGTCTTGCTGTCTTTCAGATGGTGGGTGGCCAAGCAGCAAGGAGGGAGGACAGCCGTAAGCAACATCTGCGCCATCAGGCCCCTTTATCGTGTTGTTGCTTTAAGCTAAGTCATTTGTTTTATTCGTGCTGTTCTTGGGTCTACGGGCTCAAAGAATCACCTCTTTTTACCTGCGAGGCGTGGGATCTGTGGCTGCGCCACACAAATGAATATTGTAGGGGTTTTTCTTCTTGATTGTCCTGCAAGTAATTTATACTCTGCTGGCAGCGGGTGAATTAGGTCACTGCTTCACCTTAACTGTTTTTCTTGGCTGCAGTTTTGATTTCCTTGGCATTGCAGTGAGAGCATCTCTGCAGACCTGCACACCTGCTAGCTGCACACTTGGTTTCCCCTATTGTGCACCTTGCACTTGCCTCTGGAAGCCCAAATTTTACAGCTTATTTTGAAATCCTTTCCTTACTAGTCCGCAAAGGCCGAGGTAATCTTCTCTTCCCCTAAATTACGGTATTGGTACCTTTAAGCTTTTCTTTTTGATAAAAGTGCTTAGAAGGTTGAGGCAGGAAGCAGGAATGATTCATGGTCGGTTCTGCATAGGCAAACTCAACACTCACTGTCCCCAAGTGCCTCTGAGGTCATCTTTGTGTAAGACAAGAGATGGATATGGACAGAAGCACAGACGCATCAGGAAATGTTGATGCAGCAGCACCAGCAGGGCAGACCCACGTGCCTGACATCCCAACCGCTCTCAGGCCTTGCAAGCCGCAGGGCACAGGGTTTCAGAAGAGCTGGGAATGACAAACCCTTACTCTTGAGGTTGCTTCTTCCAGGGTTTTTTCTTCTTCTTCCTGCCCCCACAGCTCTGCTGTAACCTCTCCAGGTCCCACCTTGAGGTGTGCCTTTCCAAAGAGCAAACTTGGCCCTGTATTTTTCCCCTCAGTTATTTTTCAATTCTGGCTCTTCTGCTCGGAAGGTGTCCCCAGCTTCCCACAGCGTTAGTGCAGGCCTCTCCGTGCACTCGCATTCAAACCCTTGCACTTTGCATCCTCCCCTCTGCCATAAGACCGTCTCGCCACCCTCATGAGAGCTCACAGGCAAACCAGACCTGCACAGGTTGCCAGCACAGAGTTGGTGGTGGTTTCATATTCCCTTCCACAGGCCATGCCAGGTGCATATCATGTTTCTTTTTTTCTTTTTTTTTTTTTTTAAGCATGCTTTTTCCTCTTTTTTTTTTTTTTTCCCCAGCTAGTCACTTCCTAACTTTTTTCTTGCCCTTGCATTTTAATTTTAAACCTTTTCTACTTGACCAGGACCGTTTCCTCCCACCCAGGGCTGTGCAGAAGAGCAGCCTGTGACAGCAGTGTTGCCTCGAGCACCGTAATTACAAAGCGAGTGTGGGGTTTTCTCACACAACTTTGGTTTTTGTCTCTATCACGTGTTTAAGCAGCTTGCTTTTCTGAAACTATAAGTAACAGGGACTAACCCAAACTTGTGGCCAACAGAGCAAGGTCAAAATACAGCTCTGAACTCTCACTGTCACAAGCAGCATTTGAAGTGCCATGGGGAGGCACCTGGGCTGATCCCCCCAGCTTTAATACCAGTTGATATTTAATACCAGTTGATATCAGCTTTACCTGCTCACAGGTGAAAAACCTTTTCCACTTGCAGCTCCAGAAGGGTGAGGTCTTTAAACATTCCCTAGAGTCTATCTAGTCACTACTTCTGTAATCAGCTTACTGAAGTGAAGCAAGACCAGCGAGAGAGAGCTCTAATGCTCTTCTTGCTAGGCCGTACTCACCCACCCGGTCAAAACACAAGCCTTTAGGTCCCAATTTAGAGACTTCTCGGTGCTTTCATGTGTTAAATGGCTTTATTGCATTTTCATGGGATTGCTTCCTTAATAGAAGCTTCCTAGGCAGCACCTAGGCATGCAGAGCAGAATGGATCTCAAAGGTCTTCTCCACCCATCCTGATTCTATGAACTCAGCCCTTTCACCAGCCTGAAAAGTGGGTGCTTCACCTGTGGCCCTGCCCAGATCAGCTTGCAACCAACTACCCGTGGTGAAAAGCTCTGCAAAACGAAAGCCAGGCGCTTTTCCAACCATAGTGGCACCCACTCGGACAGAACTGCTATGAACATGGCTCTTCTACAAGCTTTAGATGAGAACAACTCGTCTCATGCTCATTTTTCTACTGCAGTTACATTTATGCATACAAAAATCTTGCAGTCTGTAACCGTGGTTAGTGCAAAATAACCTAAAACAGTAATAACAACCCCCAATCCTCTAACCCTCTCTCTAAAAAATAAATGCATAAATAAAATAAAATCTTAAAATAGAGCAGTGAAGGAAGGGGCAGTGATTCTCTCTTTTGCAGTCAGCTAGACAAGTTGCTAGCATCAAGTTCTATATTTATTACCCAATAGCTCCAGTATCAGATTGGCTTGGTTCATGGCTGAGCACTTAACACTGTTGTGCTGGGAAAACCCTTCCTCTGCAAACACAGTGGGCTGTTCCAGGCTGAAGAGCAGACCTACCTGTAAGAGGGGACGAGGAGTCCTCATTTGCCAAACAGCTGCTTACAAATAACAATTCCAAGAGGTGGATTTGAGGAAACTCTGCTTTAGGCTGCTGTCTCCAAACAGTAAAGTACTGGAAGCGCAAACAAATCTTGATTTTTGGCCTCATCTGTCAGGAAGAGCTGCAGCTGCACCCAATGGAAAAGGTTAAAAGAAAAGCAGAGAGCTGCAAAACAGCTCCAGCATATGGACATAGTAAGTAGTAGGAATGTAAAAAAAAGACAAAAATTGATTACCATCAAATTTCTACAAACTGAGGATTCCTTCTTTCACTTAACTCACCCTATGAAATAATAAAATACAGTCCACAAGTGACCCTTTTTCAGTCTTCTTTCTTCCTCTTCAATTTTTACGTGGGCAAGGTACTGATTCCCGGGCTTTCAACGCAGGCATAATAAACAGGAGGCAATGACAGCATCATTTTTCTACAGTGATATCACAGTTAAAACCGAAGAAACTAGATTAGATCTCTCCAAGTGAATAGCAATAGCTATTCAGTAGCTATTCAGACAGTAGCAAGTTATGATGTGCCCAATGTGGAGCTGCGACCAAGAGAGCTGACCCTTCCTAACAGCACTTTAAGACTCAATTACTTTTTCCAGCATTAAGGCCACCTCCTGGAATTGACAGTAAGTCACAGCAATACTCAGTTGTACAACACCCCTCACCAGCCCCAAAAGGGGACAGTCTCACCCCATTTCTGGCGTGGAAGGTTTGCAGGTTCCAGCCGTGCAGCTGGGCAGGCCGGAGGTATCCGAGTGAGGCTGCAGGAAATGGGCACTGGGGAAACCACAGACTCCGGAGGCAGTCACATATTTGTCTGTTTATTATTTCAAAGTACAATATATACATAATGTATAGTGATGTCTTCCAAAACTTTATACAGAAACAAGTATCTACAAAATTAAATCAATAGACATTTGTGTATACTCAGACAACATACATACACGTATTGGAAGATTCGACATAGTTTCACCGCCAGAACACAAAAACAGGAAGCAAAGGAAACCCCAATCACCTTGGGAAAGCTCTGACGACCACCCTCCTTCCTCTAACTCAGCAGTTTGTCTTCCAAAAGCTTTCGGGTTGGTTTTGGGGCAGGATAAGCTGATTTCGAGTGCCACCTACTGCTACCATCCCTCACCGCAGCTGCTCCAGAGCCAGGGGAGGGAGCCCCATCCCGAGGCTGCATCAGGCTCAGCGCTCGGCTTCGAGTCTCTGGGAGCCACAGACCCCATTTGTCTGGTTACAAACCACATCTTTTAACAAAGACTTTTGCAAGGACTAAGCTGTGTTTTAACAGAGATTCTGCGGCTGCTGGCACTAACAGGGAAGGTGAGAACATTCCCGAGAAGCAGAGGCTGATCCCCACTGCCTTCTGGGGCCAGAACATTGCACAGGTTTGTGTGGCACAAAAGCAGCGGTTTTTATAGCATGAAGTGGCACCCGTCACTGAGGAAGGTCCTGCCTAAGACACCTTCAGCGCTGGATTTTACAGAGGGTGGAAAAGCACAGGCAGCTTTTCTGTAGGGCCTCGAAGAACACCAGGATGGGGGATGGTTGGGTTAAAAAGAGCACCCTGAGTATTCAGAATCAGATGTCGGATCTGTGCCTGTAGGATACCACCAGCTACAAGCCGGGCATTTCCAAAAAAGCCTGTGGCAACGAGGTACGAAATGGACGCTGAGTTCAACGGCACAAACGCAGCTAACTGCTCCAGGCGGTCCTCAAAATGCCACTTCGTCTGAGGACAGCTTTTAGTCTAATATTCATACCAATGATAAGAAGTTTCCAAAATAAACAGAATGTGATTGCTGCACACGCCCTGCGCGCTCTCTAGAGCTCAGTGCCCAGCAGCCCTCTCTCCATTATCCAGCTGTGCAGAGTATCCTTGCGATTTGCACCAGCAATACTGGAAAAGACCATGGAAAAAGGCAGGGGGCTTCACACCAGCATCTGTGGGGATAATGCAGCATTTCCCCTGGAACGAGCAGCAGCCCTGAGCTAAGCTGCTAACTCACCCTGTCGTGCACTCAAACCTCCTTGCTTTCGTACTCAAAGTTTCCATCTTTAAGAGCTACACTTGAAATAAAGCATCTAGAAAGCAACCTTGGTCCACTGAGTATCATATGCAATAAACAAAGTGGTTTTGGGGGATGTTTTGTGCATCTCCATAACCAAGAAAAAGAACACTGAGAATTTACCCAGTGTAACAGAGGAAGCAGCATTTTCAGCAGGGCAGGAGGACAACTAACCAAGTTTCTCAAATAACTTAAAAGGAGAAACAACATGCCAAAAAGAAGTAAAAGTTTCCACAATATCATTGCACTTATTCCATCTGCACCACATCGCTCCTTCATTCACATTGTACACCTGAAGAACATACATGGATACAATATTAACATGGCATCTAAAATACAGGAGACATTCAGCTGAATGCCCGGGAATATTCAGAGAGCTGGGACATGAAAGCATGAACACACCAAGGTGCAGGAGCTAGGCCCCGTTTTGACAGGCAAGTTGCTCTTCCTAGAGTTCCCTCTGTCCACAGCAGGTCTAGACCAGCTAGGAAGGACCGCCTGTTTGCTCAGGGGAGCCCCCAGCTTGCTGGAAGCACCTGCCCCTCCTCTCCACATCACTCAGCAGCAACGCAGGAGACCCAGGGCGGGATGTGTAACGTTTGCATAACCATTGCTCTCAGGAGTTTTAAAAAATATATGTATATATATAAAAAACAACCCAAGTTAAAGGGTCATCATTCCTACAGGGTTCATCTAGTTAAATCACTTGTTCTTATCCCCTCTTTTTAAACAAAGACTTAATCCTCTTAGTATACAGACTGGCTATTGAAGACTCCAGAAGCTCTCTGGACAACCTTAAAAGCACATTTGGAGATGTCTATCTCCAAAGCAAAGGGGAAGGTCTCTGTCTTGCACCAAACTACTCCTAAGAGCCAAATCAGGCCCTTGTGCTCAATTTCAATCCCCCAAATCCCTTGTGTGACTCGGTGGCACTGGAAAATGGAGCCCACTGAAGTCATCTAGGTGCTCTGTTAAGTTTTTCTCCCTTGCATTCAAGCTACAGGATTCAGGCCTCTTGTTTCATAAATGATGCAAATGGTAACTGGGATAAGAGAAAAGATTTTTTTTCCCAAGTGTCCTTTCTAATTAGAATAGTTGAAGCATTACTCTTAAGTGCACATTAATTCTTTTCATAAGTGCAAATATTTAAGAAAAAGACGAAAGTATCTATTTACACCATGACTTGGTCGGGCTCTGTTCATTAAATTTTGGTCAAAAGGCAACAAATACATCAATCTACGCATTTATTGCTGGAATAAAGACACTGCAGTTCCTGTAAGTTATCCTGAAATTAATGTATGAAAGTGATATTGTGACCAACAAGAATCTTGTCATCTTGACACCTGCCCTCCACCACACCGCTCAGTTACTGAAGGATTAAGTATCAGGTCTGAGTTTGTGACATTGTGACAGTCTCCTCCACAACAGAACAATTAAAGAGTCTCAGATTTCTGTGCCACTTTTATAGATGAACCAGTAGATTGCAAATCCACTTACATACACTTCCCATTTCCTACTGCTGCTGTCACTGGCCTGCTTATCCGAAGTTTATGAGTAAACTCAGACTTCTATTTTGAAAACAAGGTTGAATCAGGAGGAAATAGTGATCAATTTAAGCTCCCACTTTTTAATATTATTAGTTATGCAGAAAGTCAGAGAACTTCAGTAACTAACTACTTGAGATCCGAATTCTTTAGATTCGAACACGTAAAGATCAGGGGATTATAGGATTTGTTGAGCTGACACTTGTTTCAATCAAATATACTCAGCAACTGAACCAGCAAGTTTCTTAATCCCTTAATTTTAATGCTGTTTCAGTCTTATTTAAAAGAAACACCAAGTTGAATGCTAACCTAAAGTAGAAAGTATGCAATGCCATGGCCATCACGTCAATTGTGACAGAGTATTTTCCCATGTGCACGTCAAAAGTGTTTAATCAACGTAAATATCAGAAAAATATGCAAGGGAGGAAGTAATGTCTGAAAGCCCTTAAAGCTCAGTAACACTGGATATGTTCAACAGCAACTAAAAAATAATCAGCTTTATTTTTCTAAGCTCCATCATTAGAAGTAATTAATTATACAGTGCAGAAATTAAAACCTCATGGCAACTCATTCAAAACACAGTAAGCACTGCAAATTGTCTGTAATGTTTCAAACAGAATGTTTCATCTCCGTGTAGTGTGCAGTAAAATCCAGCAACATCTCAGGCTGATATTGAGCAGAGAGAACCAGGCTGATGCCAAACCCTGTGGACCTTCTCTCATACAAAGACAGACAGCCTGTATAGCTAAAGGTTGTATATGTAAAGTACTGGATGCTTGTGCTAGCAGGTAACCATATTTCAGGAAAACTGTAAAAAAGCAATGGTCTGTAGCACCTGCCTTTCCTGCATCTTCATATTGGTTATTCCATAGGAGTTTGGTTATGTTGGCTTTATTCTCCTTTCCAGTTCATGCTGGTGTTTAGTGAGCCGTTCGATTTCTGTTCCTAGTGTCTGAAGGTTCTCCTTTGGGAAGGAAAGGGAGAAAGATAAATACAAGAAACACGAGACAATCAGCACAAAAGGCACTAATAAGTTAAAATTACCATCTAGGTCAGCAGCTGAAATTGCAAGTATCCAGAACAAATTACAAATTAACTGGGGGTGAGGAAAACCAAACCTGCTTCAGCCAAGTAGGCGAAGCTCTGCACGAGCCTTACAGGTAGTCAGAAAGACTCTAAGGACTGCCTGAGCACTTCAAGGGGAGCAACTATCACAGGAAAGAGATTTCCAGCTCCTGCCATTTGCAGTCCAGCTGGCAGCCTGCAGAACACTTCCAGCCTGCCACGTTTTCATCACAGCAGACGTGCTGCCCCAATGGCACTGACTGGCACATGGCACGAGCCGCTGAGGGTGGCGGGAGGGCACAGGGGGGCCTTTTTCCTGATTGTGCAGGCAGCCCAAAATCCAACGCTGGGAGCCAACCTAGTGTGCATTTTATGATGGGACCCCAAAGGAGCTCAAGGCATCTACTTCAAGTGCTCTTTGCTCAGTGTTAAACATCTCCAGCTTGCAATGAGCTGAAAGAAAACCAGCTACTCACTTTCAGTGTGATATTCTTCAGGAGAGTGTCTTCCAGCACAGCCTGCAGCTTCCTGTTGATCTCCAAGGAGAGCTCCAACGTGAGGCCGCTGTCTGCAGGATGGGACGTGTACAGCGATGCCATAATCCCACCTCGCCTACTCAAGTGGACTTTGTTGAAGTCAGAGGCCTCCGAGGAAAGTGTTCCAGCTTCTTCCCGCAAAATGTAGCTCTGAATAATTCTGGGGGAGGAAAGGGACAGAAAAAAGAAGATATCATAGCATTACAAGGCAGTGAAAAGGAAGACAAAGTACCTTTAAAATCCTGACATTATGTGTGTGTGTGTGTGTGTGTGTGTTAAATAAATAGTTCTCTCCTCATTAAATCAACAGTGCTTGAAAATACCAGAAAGGCAATAAATTCAAATCCTGCCAACTACATGGAAGCTGCAATTTCCAGGATAGAGGAAAACCTAAGTAACACAGATACTGCAAAAGACTGTGGCAGCACAGCACCTACAACGGCACACAAGGATTACATATTCAGAGCAACTTAAAGAAGTACTAGTGCTGCTGAAGCAAAAAGGTTGCTTAAAAGATACTTCTCCATGTACTTCATTCCTAAAAGATCTAACAATCCCAGTTAAATGGGATTTAAAGTTACCTCAAAATTTGAAACGCTCTGCCTGAGCTATATGCAATTTAAATTACTGCTTCTTTCTTATTATAGTATTTAGAGACTCCAGTCATGGAATCAAGACCTTAAAGTCTCTGAGGATGAAATAGTAAATAAATACAGAGGCTCTGCTTAGGAGCCTCCACAAGCTGTAATCTAGTCCCTTGAAATATTGCCACATGAGTAGAAGAGCACAGGCACATTAAGAAAGAGCTGTAATCAACAGGCTACAATACTTTTCAGAAGATACACGCCACAATTTCCTGGTCGCCTGTATACAGCACTGACACATGAGGCTTCCATGCAAGTGGAATCACATGCTAAATACAGAGCAGCTTTTGTGCAGGTTTGGTATGAATGGCAGACTAACGTGGAATTACGTAGCCTCTCAGTCTAAAACAAACACTTACAATCAGCACCCTTTCAAGCACACAGAGGCTGAACTCTCCTGTTGGCCAGTGGCAATGACCCACCTCACATCAGTAACCAGGTGACCATTTTGCTACCAAAAACCTTGCACCATTCCATTCCTCCCAATAAATTTTAATACTACTGGCTGCAAGACATATATAGGGAGGGAACAACTCGGACAGCAATTATGTACAATTGGGAGGAGAATGGTGAAATCTAAGATTAACTAGACCTTTGAAATCTACTGTCACTGAAATAATGTCTTAACTATTTTCATTCAGACAATTATTGGTCTTAAATAGAATGCAGAACATTTCTGTCCAGTGCAGCAGCTGAAAATTGAGAAACCAGATGAACCGCACTCAGAACATACTTTGTTTTTTTCCTAATTTCCTCCACTAGTTGTTTGATGTGATCCTCCATGAACTCCATCTTCTCATTTTTTCGAGCATGAGCCTTCTGCAGTCTCACTATCCTTTCAATCAAGACGGACTTGTCCACTTCTGGGAAGTTATCCACAACGACTGAAGCCCCAGTGTTCTCCGGAGACCGATCCTCAGTGCTGCTGCGGGCGTTAAGGGAACCTGCCAACACCAGAGCATTTGTCAAGCTCTGCTCTTATACAGGGTAGAACATCTCCCACCAGTACATTATAAGCTCAGCAACTTGGGACAGATAAAATACTCAATCTCATTTGGATGCTACTGGGTTTTATATAAGCAACATATATAACATCTTAATTATAGCTACTGAAACAGGAGTATAGCCCTCCGGAATGGACAGACTTCCACTAATATAACTGTGCTTGCACTAGGAATGCTTCCTCCTACCTAAGTACCTTCATGTTGATATTACTTTACACAAGACTGAGCTGACTTTAAACAGTTTAGTTTTAGAGTCCATTACAATTACAGACATATGAAAACTGTATATAGACTAGTCAAAGCTCTGTGCATAAATACATTGCAGCACTCGCCACTTAGACAGCAAAGCAACTATTTCAAGCTCAATCTCTTTTATATAGTAAAAGATACTTCTGTCCAAGTATCCAAAAGATACTTGGACAGAAACAATTTAAACTTGTTTAAAACAAACATTAAGAAAACAGATGACATTTGCAATGCTAAAGACCTCTCCTAATTAGATAAAAAGTAATAAATTTCACACAAATATATGAGTGTTTCTAAACATGCTAATTGATTTAACATTTACACAGTGGCAACTGTCAACAGTGCAATTAAACGGTGTCAGAAGCAGCTGTTAGGTTTTGTTTTGCCTCTGGCTGCATTCAAGAGGGTCTCCTACTCATCGAATTCTCTGAGCTTCCTCCAAGCATAAAAGCAGTGAAAAGGTCATCGTTAAAAAAGAAAATAAAAAAGGAAATAAAATACAACCGTTAATTTTGTAATAAGAATAATGGCCTACTACTGCATTCGGAGCCTGCTGCGTTTTAGTGCTTAAAGGCTATTTTGCCAGCTTTAATGGGAGACTGCCTACACACCACATGTGTGGGAGCCAGGCTCACAGCAGCCCTCCATGGCAACCTTACTGAGAGCCAAGGACACTTCTGCCAGCCCTGCTATTTGCTGGGTTACCTGATGAACTGGAACGACTCCCCATGCTGCTGCCTTCTTTGTCATAATTGCCATTTTCCATCTGATCCAATTTCCTCCGTGCTAAAAGCAAATAAAACGATGGTTAGCAACAGAAGCCTAAAAAAAAATTGTACCGTGACACAGCATACCCAAGCCCTGATGATCTGCAATAATTTAACAGTTTGACAGCTGAAAGGTCGTGTCAGCAACCAAAATCTCGAGAGAAAGGAAATAAAAACAGTCCCCCTTCCCTTCCCCATTCCCATCCATGTACTACCTGGCAGCAATGCCTACCCTATGCCCTGCAGCAGCTCCCAATCAAACAGGTAATACTCTTCCCAGGGCTGACTGGGAACAGCAAGATGTAAATCTGATTTTACTGTTGATTAGGACCACTATGTCAGTAACTAATGAATGACAGGACAGCATCTCTGTTGTGGTGGCTCCTGACTACAATCACTACTCAGTGCAGAGCATATTACTGGTGCATAGAAGCACTGCTCATTTAATAGGGGTAAGAAAACGTTCAGCTGTTCATAGGTATGTACAAAAGGGAGAAACAAACTGGGCTGGCTTATTAGATGTGAAGATAATGTCAACCTAGCTGCAGCTGTTTGGTGAGATCTTTGAGGTTGGCCGCATGCTTGCGCTTCTGGGTGGCCAGCTCATCCTTCAGTTCATCCACGTGGGTCTTCCTCGCCGCGAGTTCCTTCTGCTCTGAAGCCAGCTGAGCCTGGAGTGTCTCAACCTCCACCTTGCGCAGGTCCTCCTCCTTCTGCAACCTGGAGGCCTAAAAGTGGATTTTTTCTTTTTTGAATAATGTACAAAGTTCTAAACAATACACAAAAAAAATCCAGACCATCCATATGCTCATAGCAGCTCTAAACCTGCATTTCACTTTTTACACAAGCTTCTTACATTTTATTTAATTAGGCTGATGATTACCATTGTGAAAGAGTTTGCAGCACAATGCAACAGTGCAGTAAGAGATTCCTGAACTGCCTCCAAAACATCTATGACAGAATAGGGATATGCAGAGCTCTGCTGTAAAGTCCCATTAACTCCTGTGACACATCAAGCTTATTAAACATGACATTTATCTACCTCATGATCACAGCACAAGCATGACTTAAGCAACAGCTTGCAGTGACAAATTTCACAAGTAAATTAAAACCTTTATATTGTTTCAATGGCAACATGGAGCACAGCTCTGTCCTCCCAGCATGGCAATAGTAACATCCACCATTCCAGTGCAGGGGGCCCTGTTTTTTTTTTTAATCCCCATAAAACACCAGCTGGTCAAATCCCACTGCTATTACTCTGAGTGGCCACAGGCAAGCCCCTGCTGCAAGCACACACAGTAGCTGCAGGCTGCCCCAGGCTCAGGCTTGCTCTGCTGCAAGCAGCAAACCAATATGCAGTGTGGGCATTTGAAAAGCTGAAAAAGAAACAGACAGCATAGAGATGGATACTTGAAAGCTTAAGAAACTTGTCCTCACCACTAAACTTGAATTTGTCAATGCTAAAGTCCCAAGCTGGGTTCCTATTCGCAGGTTTTCTGAAGAGCGATAGTTTGACTTGTCCCCGGCTAACCGCTCCGATTAAATGGTCGGGGTAAAAGCCAGGCACTCAACAGAAGTTTTATTAAAAGCCTCCAGGAAAGGCTTTAAATAAGATTTTGCCTTCCCTTGGAGGGGTGGCTCTGGTGCCTGAACACAGACCCCGAGTGCCCTTCAACAAGGCCTGCAGCAGCCTGCCTGGCTGGTTCCCGGGCAGGGCCTGTGCCACAGCAGCCTGATCCACACACACCCCCAAAATCCATGGGCGCCCCAAGCATCACTGCAGCCCTCTACGTAGATAAGGTGGGACCAGGTGAGAATCATTCCCCATATCTAACCAGAGCAAGAAGCTGCCTGTGCTGCACTCACCAGATCGTCCTTAGTCTGCCGAACACGGTCCAGCTGGCTCTGCAGCTCTCTCTCGCTGTAAGAGAGCTTATCCAACTGGCTCTGCAAGGAATTGTTTTCAGACTGAAGCTGTGCATTCTTACTGGTTAACTTTTCAGTGAATATCAATAGCTCAGACTCTCTTTTCCGACTACCTTCAATGTCCTTTTGGAGATCAGCAATCAGAGAATTGAGACCATCTACTTCTTCCTTCAAAGCACTTATTTCTTGTTCATCTCTGTCAAAGCAATTGCACCTCATTAGTGTAACTTGAGTTTAAAAATATCACATGCACAAACACAAAACATATATGCAAGCACTCGGGTCCAGACAAGGTAAGAAAAAACAAATGGACTGTTTATGACCCTAGGGAAGCAGCCAGCTACTGCATGCTGTTGAAGGCCAAAATGTTTTATGGATTCCTTTTCATGACACGTTGTCACACTGAAGGGACAAGGAGGTCCTGCAGCTCTCAGGAGGGCACGCAGCCCTCGGCTTCCTCAAGGAAAGTTTCTTCTTGTACTCAGCTTCATAAGCTTCACTACAAGGTCTGAACAATAAACCAGACTTTCAGAAAGGGGCACTGCAAGCGGGAGGGAGGCTTGCAAATATGAGAGTCATTTGGAGGAGACTTCTTGTCTTTAGACACAAGGAAATGCTCCAGTTCTAAGTAGGGCAGAACAGCAGCATGGCAACTTCTCAAATATCCTATTCAAACTGTGCAGTTCTGACTCAAAGCAACTGTCTTTCCCCATCATCTATAAGCCCGTTCTTGCTTCTGCATGAAGCATTCCCAATAGGAGACTTCAAATGTCGCTTCCAATCCATTAAAAAAAGAAACTTTGGCATTCTAGCTCAGATCAGTATTTTGGAGAAACTGATAAAAAAAGGAAATTAATTCTGCAATTAGATAGCTGCTAAGTTTTATAAAAAGACTAAAATGACCCTGCTCATTTACTCTTGCCATTCTTTCATTAGTTCTTCAACGACAGGGCTTTCTACACCTTTAAAAAAAAATTACATTCTAACTTCAGGGGAAAAAATATTCTCCCTTCAGACAGGCAAATTCGAAAAGAAAAGATATACAAGCCAAGCACACACATCTCAATTGCACTGTCTTCCTAGGAAGAGGTTCTATTCACTTTAAACAACCAACCCCATATCACCACATACAGATGAAATCAGACAATCCAAATATTAGCATGAAATATCACTTCCAAATTTTATGGAAATGGAAGAGACAAGGGCATTTTAGCACATTTCTCTACTACTGTGGAGATGAAAAGACAAATGGAAAACACATTTGAAGTTTTATTTCATTTAGTAGGCTCCTAAGGGGGAAAAAAAAAGAAAAAAAAAAAGGAAAATATTCCCAAACACTACTGATCTGTATTTAAATGTTGGGAAGTCACCTTGGGAACTGACTGCAGCTTCCCTAGCACAGTGCCCATACAGCTGAGCAGGACACAGTAAAGGGAAGATGCTCCCCTCTGGCTCCTGATGAAGGCACAAACTTGCTGAAATATTTTTTCAGTACCAATTAACTATTTAAAAGCACAGGAGACACGTGGGTGGTTCTCTTAGAACCTGGCACCACTCTTTGAATCGGCAAAGAGGACAGCATTTGTTTGTACTCCAGTTCATGGGTACCATATGGAAACAAAATTATCTACAGACATTTCAAAGTGTCTGTGAACAAAATTCTCCAAGAAAATTCTATTTCCTATTTATTTACTTAGTCTATTTCTCTCACGTTTTCAAATGAGGAAATTCTGATGCAGCAAAACTAATGCTGGTCCATTAGAAATACAAGTGCTTCTAACATTAACTGGCTGAATACAATAATAGCCAAAGACATTAAGCTGTTTCTGTTAAATACTTAAATGAATCCATCATAATTAAAGAGATCTGCTTTTCTAGGTCATTTGTTTTCCTCAGTCATTCAAAAACGAGCACTGGGCAGAAGTCTAGAAGATGCAACTTCCCACACAACATGCTGGAAAGTAATCACTTCTTATTCTGATAATGGCAGATATAAAATTAGAATTTACTGGTTTCACCGCTGACAGGTCTTACCACTTGACTTATCTGTAAAAAGCAAAAGTTATGTATATATTGACAATACGGGAGATAATTAATTAGAAGAGATAATTATAACACAGATTCTTCCATCTAAAATGCATTTTAAAGCATCATTAATTTTAGTAAAGAAAATCACTAACAACACACAAATCTCAGATCAGTATGCAGTTTTACCTCTGATGCTGATCCTGTAGATGATCTACAACTTTTACTCTGTCCAGCAAATTCTGAATTTCCGTTTTCTGCCTGTTTATGATTTCTTTATATTTGGATAATTCATCTTCAGTTCTCAAACGTTCATCCTCTAGGCATTTTACCTATGTAAAATATGACAAACTACTTACTCTTCTGAACTGAATTATTTCAATCAAATATCTAGAACATTGCACAAAGCTTGTGTGTGTGTGTGTGTGTGTGTGTGTGTGTGTGTGTGTGTGTGTGTGTGTGTGTGTGTGTGTGTCTGGGGAGGGACTCAATGATAAAATCCAAAATCAATCACACACATCAAACAAAGTTGGAGAGACAAGAAATAAGTTGTGGTTAGAACCAGTTACCTTGGTTCTTAGTGTCCGAAGCTCATCCATTCCCTCTTTAAATGTTCTCTTCAGGTCTTCCAGTTCTTTTATTTTTGCTTGATGCACCTTTTTAAAGGGTGAGAAGCTGCTTGAGAAATTTAAACAGACACTGGTATCCCCGGGATGTCAAAAGAACTTAAGCCTATATAGGTCAGTGTGACAGCTGAGAGGGCTCAAGGCAAGACACGAGACATGTACCCTAAAGGTTTGTTTTTAATAAGTAAAACAAAACAAACCGTAAGAGCTTTTTATTCTCATAAGAACAGAAAGCAAAAGCAACATTATGCACTCTGGTTTTAACTGTACAAATCTACATCACAACAGCCTCAGGGAGAAGTGCTAGGCAAACTGACACTCGGTTAACGCTGAAGAAGATTTATACGCAAGAGCTGTGAGCAGATCCAGCACACAAGGCCAGGACTGAATCACTACAAAACCCCAACTTTGGGCTAGCAGAGCTAGCAAAGCTCTGCAGCAAATGAGACAACAGAGGCTTTTCCCTGCCTCCCTCTTACCATATAGCTTGCTAAAATACCAGACAGCAAAAGGCAACCCTGCCAACCACCTGAATTCGTGTTCTAAGCCACATCAACATTAATATTTATAAAGTGTCCTTGTAACATCCTCCTTTTCCTCCCTCCACGAGTTCTCACATGAAAAGTAATAGCTAAAATGCAATAGCTAAAAATATGTTCCAAAAATCATGGCTGGAAGCAGACATCTGCAATTGGAATTAAGCCAAAATTATCTAAAGATATCATGATGTGTTTACCTCCAGGTGGTCAGACTTCTCTTGCATCTGCTTCTCTAGTTCTCCTTTTGTTACTCGCAGCTTTGCATCCAATTCATTTGATTTGATTTCTTCTGATTCCTAACAGAGAAGGAGATACGCAAGTGCTGTTTTAGAGCTCTATTGTTCCTCTTTCAGAAACATGCACACACTACACTGCACATCACTGAACTCTTTCCAGTGGGTATGTAGCTAACAACATGTCAGGACCCACTACATCCCTATAAAGATAAACATCATCTCTCCTATTTAAAAACTCTCCAAGTAAGGAAATCTGTGACTGGTCATATCAGCTTTGCACCTTGCACTGGGTAATTCTCCCCTGCTAGAGCTTAAAATACAGCAGAGAGGAGCAGAGACGGAGTGCTAAGTATTGATTTTGTTTCCTGAAAAAAATGTGCTTACTTGATAGGTTTTTATCATTTCTTGACAGTTCTTCCGTATCTGGTCTGCTTCTTCTTTTGCTTGAGTTAATTTTGTTGTTGCATCTTTAAGGCGATCTTTGGTCTCCTATAAAAACAAGGAAACAACCAACTAAGCACCACCAACCAACTTGCAATGAATAACCAGTTACATCTACACACTTACACAGCCTAACCCAGGTAAAAGCACTTCTCTAAAAACATTTTCCTATTTCAATCTGAAATGAATCAACAGCAAAAGAATATATCTAGTGCTTTGCCCTCATCTTGCTTCCATTCAACAGCTCATGCAATTTTGTTTACCACTGAAAGCAGAGAAGTCATGTGCTGTTATGTGCACATTTTCAGATGACACATTGACTTAAATCTATCACACAAATACCAAGTTATCAGCAGGTTAAAACAAAATCCTTTCCCTCCCATCAAACCCTTTCACTTCAGCATCAGTATCTTTAGATGCACTACAGTATTTTGCAGCAGGTGCTCAAATGGAAGAAAAACTTTTAAAAGGAGATTTTAGTTACATTAAAAAAGGAACTAACAGAGCATCTACATTTCACTGACTGAAGTGTCACAGTAACACTTCACTAACCTTGTGTGAATCCATTTCTGTTTTCAATTTGTTCTGAGCCCATTTCACTTTGATAACATGGGAATTGATTTCTTCTTTCAGTTTTTCTATTTCTCTGTTCAGGCGAGTGGCTTCACCATCCTGAGAAAATATCATGGATTTAAATCATCCAAGGCAAGAACAAGACTTGTAGGTGAATGCCAAGTGTAGGATTAAGATCCTGATTTTGCAAAAACATGCACACAATTAACAGCAATCCATAATTAAGTCTTTAACCCAGTAAAAGAATATCAGCATTCAGACTTGCATACAAGATAAAGCTGCATTGAGATGCAGCTTTTATAGGCATTAACATTATATATGTGTTTCAAGGTAACATAAAAAAGGATTTCAAAATGATAACTGTAAGAGTTCAGTTATTTCTTCCCCTTCCCCAAAAGAAAATAATTCCTTCATGGCTACACAGCAAAACCAAATGAAAAGAGCCTCTTTCACCAAGTATAACAGCAAATTATCTAGTTTGTTGCTGTGGTTGTTCTGAGAGTGCTTTTGATTATTTACTTAAACCATATAGTAATGTTTAGAGCACCTTGGTTTCATAGAGCTGGTGCAATCTTCCTTTTTCTTGAGAAAGCTGTTTGATTTTATTAGTGTGTTTTTCAATTTCTTTGTTTGCATCTCTCATCCTTCTCTCAAGGATCTCCTTTTCCTTCCGGAGGTCCAGGGATTCCTTCTCCCCCCGGACGTATTTCATCACCATTGTTTCTTTTTCATGGCGTGCTTCTTCGCATTTCTTGTTTGCCTACAAAACATTAAAATAGAATGAATTAACCTTGCACTAATATTCAGGTTTTATAAACCTATCCTGGATATGCTCAACACTGCAGTGTATTAGCATAACAAAGTGGGACTCCAAAGCTTCCTTTTCAATGAGCAGCATTAGGCCCTTACATAACTATCATTAGTCCAATTGATGCAACTGGAACTATTCATATTTTTAAGAGTAAATATCTCTCTGAGCAGCTGCAGCTCCAAAGCTAACCATCTTGAGTTATCAGGACGTTAGTCATTTTGAGTACAATCTGTTGTTTCAGACGAAAAGCGTATTTGAGTAATTTTAGCAACACAGTATTTCTGCAAATACTCGATATCTGTCCTTTCCCCTCCCATGTCCACATGTGAACCGCACAATCACCATCCATTATTTAACCAGATGGGGCTCCCTCCCACGCTGGAATGCCAAGTTCCACTTTATATAAGCAAAAGAAGCAGAAAACAAGTTGCAGAATCAGTAACAACAATCAGTAACTTCCTATCTCAGTAACAACACACAAGACAAAAATAAGAACTTTGTGTTCATTTTCAGAAGTGTATTAGTTTAATTGACAAGTAATAGCGACTGTCGGCTTTTATCCTCTTTTAAACTCGGATCAATTTGCAGGAAGGGAAAATTGAGGACTGAATTGTATGTTATAAACATATATGACAAAAAAGCTGGACATCAGTCACTAGAATATTAACAGCTACTTGGAAATTAATTTCAGTTATCAAATGCATATATAACTAAATTGTAATAATTTCAATTTTGGAAAATTTTGACTCATCTTGTGATTTAACATCTTAGGCTGCATGTTTCCTGAATAAAGTAAGTTTGAGAGATGCTCAGCAATTATAAGTTTTCTACATTACCTGTTCCATTCGAAATGCCATCTCTTTATGCAACTGTTGAATAGCATTTTTGGCTGCTGCATCTTGGGTTAAAAGTTTGTCTTTACTAGTTTTCACTTCCTTATTAAGCTCTTCTATTCTTGCTTCTAGCTATAAAGAAGACAGGATATAATTAGAGGAAAAAAAAAGAGACTTTGATCAGGCTTTGTGCAGATAGGCACATTTCACACCAAAGAGATGCTACATCTGATCTTTTACACGTGTTTTACACTTTTTCAAGCTGCAACAGCCAATATCATCATCTAGCTTTGTAGTCAAGAAGGCTCATGAAAGAAGCCAATTCTCACCTGCAGTGAGACAACTGCATGAAGTCAGCTAAGATAGGATGCATAAGAACAACTATGCAAAGGAAGCAAAGGAGGAGGAAAAAAAATAAAGACAAATAGATGGCATCTCTTTGACAGAGCCACCAAAGCCAGGCTGGCTGCTGTCTCAAGCTGTTTCATCCTTTTCTCACTATCCTCACACCACCTCCTCCACTGTGCCAGCAAAGTATTCGTGCATCCAAACTGGGCTGGGAGTTAATTAATTGAAAAATAGCTCAGCAAATAAAGAGGCACGAGGTCACTGTGCTGGCATGTGTCTCTTTAGGCACGTGGTGAACCAGTGCAGAGAACTGCTGCAGCTGAAGACTAATCCCTGCTGTTCACCAGGAGCTGCCTCAGCAGCCACACGCACCAGGGCGGGACAGCGTGTGGAACCATAACAGTGCCCAGAGGCACCTCAAACTGTTCAAAAGGCCATTCAGCAAGTCCAGCTTTTTGTGTTAGTTTAAGAGCAGAGATCTCGGGGTTTGCATTTTAGTATGGTTCTAAACTCCTGCACAAAGGCAGTAAGTTAAATACTTTTGCCCACCCTTCTTCGCTTGGCAAAGGAATCAGTGCCTAGCATGCACAAAGCAATGCACACGTGCTAGCACACATACATTTTGTGCTCGCAGCTGAGTTTTCCATTACTTGAAGAGACAAAGAAATCACATTAAAATACCCATATAGCACAGAAAATAACCAGGGTTTTGCTGCAACTTATCTTAAAACTCCTGCCGCTGTCCAACTACAACTACTAAGCACTGCACCCCAAACTAGTATTTTCTAAAATTATCTGTGGTTGATTTTAAATTATAACATTATGTATAAGTGTTAGCAGTTATACAATTATTACTGTAACTACACATACCCACAGATGCAGCAGTTGACAATGGAAAATAAGGGGAAAAAAAATCTTCTCATGGTAAGAAACTGAGATTCTGGAACAAGGCCTAGCAAGCTTTTGACAGCCTTCAAGAGCAAGGCAGAGTACACATTAACTTTCTTCTCAGGACTATCCACAGAGTTTATGCAGCAATATGAGGATTAACTAGAACTCACTTGACCCTAAAGAGACTTCCAGATACTAAACACCTAAGTGGTTTGAATCTAGAAGCAGAAGTTAAACCAAAGACAGAAAATGCCTTTTGCCAGTGAATAATTTCACTGGCAAAGTTCATCAGCTTTTTGCCAGTGAATGGAAAAGTGGATTTCATAAAAGGTTCAGTATGTAAGGGTGGGCCATGTCCCCTATGCTTCCAAAGGTATCTTAAACAGTGGCAATAAGAGCATCCCACAGGTGAAACACTAACTTATGTTTTGTTATTGGTACCTGTTTAATAATGTTGAGGTGCTGCTTTTCTGTTTCTGTTCGTTTCTTCAGCTCATCTTTTAAATTATCTTTTTCAGAACAGATATCCAAAATCAGTTCCTGATGCTTTTTGTTTTCTTTAATCAATCTGTAAAGGGGGAAAAAAATACAAGGTACTTCAGCACTGTGGTTTTAGTTTGAGGTTTTCTTTGCTGATTTGCAAATTCCACTGGGAATACAGTCTGCAACACTAAAGAAATTCATCCAGCCCTTACAAAACACAAGTATACCAGGCATGGGAAACTTAATTCGTAAACCAACAAACAGCACCTTCCATGTAAACAAATTGCTTATTTCCAGCATTTTGCACTGGTACTGTCAATGGCGAAGGTTTTGAAACATTCAGTAATTATGCAATTTACAGAATTAGCACGAAGTTTGTACTTAGTAACAGTTTTAAGGTATTTATAAGATAGTAACATGCGGTCAATTGGTTCTATTAGTCAAGAGTCTGAAAACACAGAAAATACATTAATTTCAGAGTGGAAAGGGCAATGAGGTGAAGTGCTCAGGGTAGCTCATTATGTCCACAACCCAGTAAGAGAGAGAAAGCAGATGTTCTAAGTCCTAAATAAGTACGTATCTATAAACAGTATCCAGGCTCAAAGTTCCTGCCAAGTTCAAATTGTTAATACCATTTTCTTTACAGAACTGAAGTATAAAGGGCTAGTTGGAACTGATGCTTCAAAAATAACGTACTTGACTTTCTCGCATTGGAGATGCACATAAAGCTCGGAAGTGCTGAATAAACACATTCTCAAATAAATTTGAACTTTTGGAAGATGATCGCTATTTTCAAAAGCACCTAAGCAGGTTAGGTCAACTCATCACACGAATTTCAGTGGGAATCAAGAACTTAACCTGAATAGGATGTTGAAAAATCCTTACATTTTTAGTCCCCTTTGGAAAACCAGCCCTAACCGGCAAAACAATAGAACAGTTCTCTAATAATCTAGGCTCCTAAACTGCAAATGCTTCAAAAGCACCAGTGAAAGAGCTCAGTACTCCAGATTTTCACAATCGATACTTACTAGCGTGTTATCTTAGAAGTGACTGTGGGAGAAAAACGGGGCTATTTCCAGAGCAGCGTCACAGGAAATTTTGCTGATCATGAGAGACACACAGGCGAAAACAACACACAAGTTGTAACACCCGGCCCCGAATGCCCTTTGAGCCGAACACAAGTTGTTGCACAGAAGTCTGACAATTTGAAATGAGTCCCAAGGAGGCAAAGGGGAGCAGCTGGCCTCACTGCTCCACAGATACCAGCTTGGGGAGAGGAAAAAAACACCCTAAACAGACATTTTGGTACAAACTCTATATGTTGTGTGTATGGAGAATATACTTATATGTAAGCATGTGCTTATACATATAATCTAAGTACTCATATATTTGAATCTAAAAAAGTGGCTGGTCCACTGGTGACAACAGTTGCCCCTGCCTTAAGTTTTCTGTAAGCAAGTAAAACGCTAATAATATTTTCACTTAGTCTCCTGGATTTATAGCCACCCACACACCCATCACTTCAGACTCTCACTCCTCCTCCCTGCTGAAGGTTTAATTAGACATTCCCAAGCTTTGCTACCATCAAGTGACTTTCTACCCATCCGTGTGCTTTTGGTTACAGGGAAAAACTGCATTTTAGGAGTCTCTCCCTCCTCATTTCTTCCTCCCTTTGGTAGTCTGTCCTGCCACAGAATCAGTGTGAAAAAGCCAGGCACACAACAATCACCTCCAGCTCTGTATGCAGGAATAAGTTTAGAGATCAAGTTTTGCTAGTAAGAAACATTTCTAATGGTGGTTACAGAATATAAGAGGTCAAGTGAGGAATCAAGAAGTCATCCAAAGAAACTGGCTTTCAATGAACAGAGATGTTCTTCATTAAATAAACTGTATGGTACAACTATCAGGCATGACTGCAGAAAAAGTTCAGTAAGTAAAATGCAGAAGTTTTTCTGTAAAAATGTGTTAAGAAAGTAGTTTTAAACTCAAAAATACCTTCTGATTAACTGCTGAATTACAATGAAAGACTGAATTTTAAATGCACATTAAAGAAAAATGCAATTTCAAAGGCATAAAGTAAACATATAGGGATAGTTAAAAAATTCAAAGGTTAATTTCTCCAAAGAAATGCACAGATTAAATGAATCCTGGATTATATCACCCTAACTTTCACAGCACTTAAGTAATTCTAGATATTGGCAGGCTCTCCAACTGAACAGTTAGCTATTCAGCTTCTGCCAAATTTCACAAGACTTCAGAGATCTGAGCACATAGTTTTATTTACCAGTACATAGCATGAGTAAAAATAACTCCCCATTTCCTTATAAAAAGCTCATTAACTGTCTTTGTAGCAACACATAGGGTACTATTTGTAACATACCACAACACTGTGTTCACACAATATGCAGCTGAACTCATGCTGAATTCTTATGTACCTCCACATTCGTGATCAGAACACTCAAATACTCACTTCCTTATAGTTTGCTCCTGCTCCAGGTATTTATCTTGCACACATTTTTCAAACACAGCCAAGGCATGTTCCCCCTTTCTCACACCATTGGGGCACTTGCATTCTTTCGAAAAGTCCGTAGATAAAAGTTCAGATTCTATTTCCTCCAGCAAATCCTCCTGTGAGGAGGTCTGATGGATTGTGGAAATCAGCTTCTTTGTACAGTCTGTATCATAGGGGCTTTCCGAATAGATTTTATCGGTAGATCTTTTCATGAAGTCAGACTCCTCCCTTAGCTCCTGTAGTATTTCCATTAGGGATTGCTCTGTCTGATTAGACTTGGGATCGAAGTCTCCGCCAGCAAAATGCCCTGTTTTCTTGGCGCCTTCCACTGTTCTTTCTAAGCCAATATTGGCAGGGCAGTCCCCACCGCCGCCGTGATCGGGCACACACTGCTGTTCCTGTCCTCCTGCCAGGCTCCCATGGCTTGGGTCAGTCCCTGTGGAGTCATGGTTCAAGGGGAGCAATTTCGACTCCCTTTCCAAGGTATCAGCATCGTTTCCAGCACAACAGATGCTTGAACTGTCCTTCATTTTGGGTATTTTATCAGGCTTCTTGTTAGCTGGGGAGTTGGAATCGGTGTCATCCAACTGACTGACTGGCTCCAGGGTGCTTGGCATTTCTGGTAAGCACTCTTCCATCATTTTCTTCTGAAAATCTACAAGGAGAATTCATATTACACGACTCCGTATTCAAAGTCAAAATTAAACAGAGATTGAGAGAAGGGAGAAAAAGGTTACTGAAAAGTAACATTCTGAGGGTAGAAATAATTAGGTACATAAGTTTCATTCAAAGTCTGTCAATTTTCAAGACTGACTTACATAGACACCCCAGCGCAAGTTCTGAAAATTTCTCAGTAAGTGACAAGGCAGCTAGAAAAATAGTACAGCTTTTCTGAATTAACCACTGTATTTCTTTTTAAATCCACAAAAAGTCCAAGGATCATCTCTCAAAATACTAGATAAATAGAACAGAAAAAAAAAAATCCCACCTAATAATCTACAGCTTTACAGCTCATTTTAACAGGTTAGTCAAAGGTAACAACATGCCTCGACAGATGCATTTTTACAACACAAGGTTACTCATCCAACCAATGAGAATAAACATGCAACTTCCTTACTGTCACATCCTGACCGATTACAGCAAAATGCCCACATACCAGCAACCTGAAGGAATGGTGAGGAGAAAAAAACCTCTCTCTTCCCCATCTGTCTGCAAGCAGCACAAATCCCCGGCTGTCAGAGCACAGATGGTCTGTGGCAGATTTGCTCTCTCAAAAGTTGCTCGCAGCACAAACTTTGAGGAGTCAGAGAGCTCTGCAGGAAGCGTTCCCGCAGCAGAGCGCATCATGACCAAACAGAACATTCAGAGAAGAGCCTGGGTACAGGGTCGGTCGTATTTTCGGTTTCAGAAAACCCAGACGGCCAGGTGTCTTGATGCCTGCTGGCATCTTCACCCAACACAAGAAGCCCTTGAGGTGTCATTTCCATTTCCAAGTTAAATTATGTGCCTTATTTATAAATAGGAGGCATACTCATCATTGAGGAATTCAATCTTGTTTTTTCAATAATTCTCAATGGAAGCAGCGACTTTGCCACCGTGCAGCACCAAGTGTGGTTGCACACTTGCCTTCCCATTGCTTTCAGCTTTCTTTTCATATGCACCAAGCTACCTGCTCCAGGCCCTGTACTTTGATTCAGTCTGGAAAGCTCCTTTGTGCTGCTTGGCTCCGCTTTGCAGCAGTCCCTACCTTACTAACCAGCACTCCGTGCTGTGGCTCATGCTAGTTTAGACTGTTGGTAAAACAGAGAGGGAGCCACGAATGCCACTACGTGGGTGACCAACTACCACCATTACAGCCTTCTACCATTTGATTTAAGAGTCAAACAAGGAAGAGAAGAAACCTCAACTCAGCTGCTTCTCCAAGGAAATACTGTCACACGCCAAAATCAACAAGAGAGACCACCACCCACAACCAAAACCAAAGGTGAGGCTGCAATTGACAGTTAAACAACAAAAGAAAAATAAAAAGAAAGAATACAGTGTAATGACAAGTGTCTGCATGCCCAGACAGGGCTGCAAAACACTCACAAATCGCCAGCAAAGAGCAAAAGAGAAATGGAGCAGTAGCACAGAATAGCTACAGAAACCTACAGAAAACAGCAAGGTGGGAACCACAAAGCAAAGGGCAAATAAACCTGTAAATCAGGACAGAGGTGGTGACTGTGAGACCTTGGGCACAACATGCAATGCGTAACTTTTACAAGGGCTCTCAATTTTATTGATACCAAGGATCTGCTTGTAAAACTTCTGATCCTCTTTGCTTCAAACAATCTATGCTTAGACAACACTGCAGTCAGCAATCCATAACCCCCAAGCCTCCAGCCTCTCATTTGGTTTGCACAGACAAAATAACTACTCTGCTGGTACCAAGCGACCTTTAAAGAGCTCTGTGTTCTACATGAAACAGCTACAACAAAACTGCCCTCCCTGACCATTTAAATCTTAAAGAAACAGAAGAGCATGTGCAAAACTGCTGGAGAAAGCAACCGATTTGCTGGTAAAAGAACATTAGTTCTAGTGTTCGAAAGCTGTTTAAAATAAATTGAGGATGTGCGTTTAACACACTCAGTAAGATGAGGTGTAAATAATGCAGTAAGAGGGAAGATAGAAATTTCCCTTCCAGGATTTGTTCCCTCTTGTCACAGGTTGCTTTTATTCCATGTGCTCAGCAAAAGGTTTCTCTGCAGAAAGAGACTTTAGCAGCAGTAAAGCCGAGGCCAGTTTAGGCAGTAGAGTCCAAGCTCTCGCAGATACTTTCTCTAGGATGATCAGAGGCATTTTTAGGCTCATTTTAAGCTTTTTGCAAAGCACTTTGTAAAGTGTCACAAACCTCCCCAAATGTGCAGTTGTTTGATGTGTTACTGCCTCAAAGCTGCTCATTACTGCCCAGCTGCTGGAGTTCACCACTCCCACAAGAGAAGAACTGGCAAAGTCAGACACGTGAACTTCCTAATCCACACAGTAGATCTCACCCAAGATCTCCGGCAGTCAGAAGTCCACACACTGGATGGTGCTTTTCTTCATTTGAGAGTAGCAGGTGAAAAAAACACAGCCTGCTGGTTTCCTCCCAATGTATTGTCTAAGATTTTATTTTTCTGGATTACTTCCTTCTAGCACTAAGTCACAGCACTATTTACATGAGGTAAGGTTAATTTATTTGCAAGCAGAAATAAAGCTACTTACATAACTCTGCTATTAACAGAATGAAACACTAAGAACTCCATCCACAGAAGATTCTACAGTTAAAGCCGATTGAAAACACAGAGCCTATAGCTTTCATAACAAACAGCTGGAAATCCCAACAGTGACTAAACAAATGTATAAAAACAAAAGAAAATTGAGCAGATTCAGTATTCCTTGCAGACTTGCTGCAAATTTAAGTGGCACACAATTTATCATATTAAGAATGGTCTTAGCTTTCTCTTGATTGCAAAATATCAAATTTTAAGCGTGGGCCCAGAAGTTCCCCCCCTAAGCAGATGGATTTTTTTCCTCTGCTGCTGCCAGGTAGCACCAATTTCCATATTCCAACTACTAAAATTTAAGTAGAAATGAAACCTAGTAACTTGTCACAAGGTCACAACTGCTCTTCCTATCCCTATCAGAAATATCTAGTCAAAACTTATGTGGAATAATTGACTACACATGTTCCTCTTGATATTCAAACATCCCTTGAATACTCGGCGTTTGTTGCATTCACCTTGAGCAACTAAGTACAACAGACAATTCCTTTACAGAGGAGGAGGCAGAAAACTGCATTCACAACAGTAAAGAAAACGCTCCTGCATTGGCATGAAAATATGTTGTGTGTGTGGAAATATTAATTTAAAAAGACCCCCGCCACCAAACTAGTAGTTGCTAGTTAAAATGAAACACAGTTGAAGTATCTGCTTCACAGGATCAGGCACAGAAATACAGCAGGTCCCAAATAGTACACAGACAACAGGCATGTTTCAGAGCAGGTTCACATTTTTCCAGGTTTTATATCCATCTTATATATCCATCCATGCCACATCCAGAGAACGAAACAACTCAGCGGTGCCTTCAGAAGGCAAACACATAAAAAATCAAATCATGATTCAAATTATCAGTTGCTCTGTATAATGGAATCTGTTTACTTTCCTCCATTGTCCCAAGAGCCTGATCACCCACCCCACACGTTCAGTGAACGTGTAAACACACGTTCCCTCCCAGCGCCTGTACTATCCAAGGCCCTAAGCCAACTCCAAATGCCCAGGGTGGGAACATCTCAAAGCATCACTTCTAGATGAGCCTAAGCTCGTCTGTCCGCATGCCTCAAATAACGAGCCATTCTCCAAGACTGTCATACCTGTCGCGTGGCACGTGGAAAGGCTCCTGACCACATGGAAAGGCTCCTGGCTCTGGTGTGCGCAACACGTCTCCACCACCCACACAACTGGTCTGACCAGCCCTTCTCCCGCGCTGGCTTTAGACCCCGCAGCTGGTTTGGCTCTCTGCCCCAGCACACTTCTTCCCCGCCTTGCCCTTATTCTCATGGTAAGGAGACAGCTGCCCTGTGCTTTTTCACAACGCAATAGGGCAGAGTAAAGTAAGCGATATTGCACTGACTGAAACTGGTTATATGATTACAGAATGAGAAAAACTAGCAGAGTTCAACCAAGCTTCCTGCAGATCCACACGCCTTGGGCACAAACACAACATACCCATCCTGCATACAAACATCAGAATATAGTTTATGTCCATTTTAAACATTACTTTGGTATTTGGGTAAAGAGCTTAACTCCAGCACGCACCCACAGGCACAAAGACCAAGCCACCAAACATTACAGGCTACCAGGGGCACCAGCACAACAACTTCTCACACTATTTAACTTAGATGCACTAAGCTGCTCACTGCAGATACCAAACCTGAGCCAACTCAAAGTAGGATGACGGCAGCCTGCAGACACAGAGAGTGAAGAGACCAGCAACTTCTTCTTAAGGTAAATATGCCCTACATCTACATAAAAAGGAAAACTAGAGTGCAGGAAATAGGCAGGATTCTTTATATTTATTAGCTTTCTTTGGCACAGGATAAAGACAGCCTCCATTTACTTCTAAATGAATGATAAAAATATGAGTATTATGACAGTAATTCATTTTAGGTCTTTAGTTAAAGATCTGATATAATACAGTACTTATCTATACAGAAAATCAAAAAATCTTGATACATGGTCACATTAACTGGTGGAAAATGCACAAACAAAAACTTCTAACTTCCTTCAATACCGGTTATTTTAAGCATCTGTTAAGCCCTGACCTAAATCCCCTACTTAAAAGGGCCACTCAGAACTATGAATTAAAGAACACCAAGAAACATTTATGGAATTCTGCCTTTTAAGAAGGTAAAACTTGCAGGCGTGGAGAAAATTTAGGCCACTCGGACTTCCTGGGACGGTTCCACTTACATTCTGTCCTCTGCAAAAAACTAGCCTCACAATTTAAAGCCACTTAAAAATTAAGTCATAAATGTTTAAAATTTAGCTACTTTAACTACTGCAAACTAGAGTTTTAACTTCTGAAAAACGTGACAAAATACCTGACAAGGCTTTAATTTTTTCTACTATACCAA